AATTAATTTACTTTTGTGTTTTAACATCATTTTTTAACTTTGTTTTGGTCAATTTGATCATCCACACCGATAGACAGTATTCAGAAAGACTTCTTCAAAGAGACAGAGAAAGAGAAGAGGGGAGGAGTAGGTCTTGCGAGAACTTCCGGGCAAAACAAAAATTCGGCTCGATTCGAAAAGTGAAATAGCCGTGGCACCTTTGTAGTCGATAAAATTAGCTTACTTTTGTGCTATAACGAACGTAATCTTTTCTTTGCCTTTATCCATTTGATCATCCACATCGATAGAAAGTATTCCGAAATTAGGAAAAACAGGTCTTGTTTCACACCGGGTGAGAATAGCCTACGGTGGCAAGTCTCACCCGATAGCCACTTCCTTTTGTTTTCTTTTGTTTTGAAAAAAGGGGGTGGGTGGTGTATGAATGAACATTTTTTGTTGTTGTTTTGTTGGTTTGTTTTTTGGTTAACTTTTTTTGGCCTTCTTTTTTTTGCTGATTTTGTGCAAGGGTAATATAAACGAAAATGTCAGTAAGACAAAGGAAGACCGAGTGCCCCAGTACAAACACATGGGTCGCCACCACTCGGAGAACGAGCGGCGCTTCTGTAGCAAGTTCACGACTACGTCCATTGTTACTTTATTACTGTTAGGTAAACAAAACAGTAACCAGTCACCTAGGCCTATAATTTTCCTTTTACCAATTTAGGCCTGGTTAAAGTTCAGTAGTGGCTTTCCTTGGTCTGTGAGTCTAATTTTTTATTTTTTTTTAGGCTCAGGAGAAGTAAAAAAAAAAACCTTTTCGGGACCAGGATTCGATGCCACGCTTGAAAGCACTGAACATTAGACTTAGAGAACGTAGACAGTAGACAGCTTGTTTACGTTCTCTTGGCCTAACTTAAAGTTCGAGTTGCACCATCTTGTTATTGTTATCCAAGTATCTTTCGACTTAAACTTGCTCAAACTCTAACTCAGATGATTGTGATTATAAGAGATGAACAAGACGTCTACTTTTGTGCAAACAATGTCAGAAACAATTGTTGGATCTTATCTAGATCTAGATCGACCCAATATTGATCGGAATAAGACAACGTCATAAAAAAAGGAGTCAAATCTTAGGAGGTTTATCAAAAAACTGAGAAAGCTTCCACAATTCAGACAGAACTACAATATTATCATGTAGAAACGATGCTACTACATCTAAATCTAGATTCTTGATCTAGTACTGGCGTTTCAAATAGCACGGGAGCTATTCAGAACGCGGCGTTGCAAATAGCGCTTGACTATTTTTATAAATGCAGTTGCGAACGCCGTAAAACCTCTACTAAAAAAGTCACCTCACTCACGATTTGTTCATGAGTTGTGTGCAGGGCTTATAGGACATGCGACTAAACGTAGAACGACACAAATTATTTTTAGGTAAGACGGCCATATCAGACCGGGATACCCCTCAGATCACGTGACTGCATCTAAATATAGCCAACTGCATGGCACCAAAGATTCTCTACTACATGATCTTTGATGGCACCATGCTTTGGTGCGATGTTTTTCCAAGATTACTGGTAATGTGATATGATGAGGTGCTCTGATGATGCTGCTGCTTACCTCTTCTGCGCGTTGTTTATCGGGCCCGGTGGGGGGTAATCTTCCGACGTCTTCACAGCAATTTCACGCACTTTATTGTCTTTGCGTTTACTGTGTTTCAATTTTAATTTCAAGCTTCAGCGTCCTTACTGTTCTGAGCATCAACGATCTAAGCGATCTTCCATCATGTCCAAGTGTGAAATTTTACCTTGCGAAACATATCGATACAGGTAATACGTCAAGCCACTGACCCAACATGTCGTCCCATGCAGTATCTCCACGGCCTTCTAAAAGTAGTCTGTGGGTATCCCAGAATGTGATGACATCACATTACTAAAAGGCCGGCACTATTTCTCTGAACGTTCGGGAATTTCTCCGAATACTCTGAAATCACATCCTTTACCACAAATTTCGGATATGATATAGATCTATAATTATAGTATAGGCCTACCAAAGATTGTTCGTATACAATATGGTTCAATCGGTCCAAAAAATGTCCGCAGTAAATATTTAGAAATGCTACAGTTCCAAATAGTTTTTCGCTACAGATATGACGTGTTGCCTATGAAGGGTGCTGCTCTTAAACTCAATGTGTTGTGTTCACTCGTGTGCTATCTAGATCTAGATCTACGGAGAGTTATTGATAACGACACACAGAAAGCATCTACGTCTGTCGTGGCCGCAACCAATCAATCATGGCTCGATTTTTTGGCATTTTTTAGTTCCCGAATCGAGGAATAAAAGTCAAATTTAAAAAAGAAAAAGAAAAAAAAGAAAGAAACCGAACCTCTTTACTTTTGAAAGAAAGTTCACTTAGTTTCACTTCATATCTTTCTCACTTGTTGTCACCACGTTGATTTGTTGAATACGTTACAGTTACTTTTATTTTTCCCTCTTTGTGGTGTTTTATTTTGTTAATGTGTCATTCTTTTTTCTTGTTATTCTGATGTGTTCTTTTTCTATCAATTTTTTTGTTGTTTAGGAAAGGAGGGGGGGGGGGATGTTGTATAGTGTAACGTCATTTAATTTGATGTTCCTACCTTCATAGATTCTAAATATATACATGTATATATATATATCTAAATGTGTTATGTTAGAGCGTACGTTCCACCAAAACCGATTACATGTACTGACACTGACAGGCCCCTTAATGTGTGTGATTCAATAATTTACATGTAATATCCTGTACTTTAAAAAAAAATTACGCACATTTAGGGTTAAAACAGCCAATCTTTTTCAGACAAGTGGACACACGCCCTTATTTGTTAATTTTTGTGGTTGTTTATGAGCTGTTCTAATTTTGATTTCATTCTGCTGTGAAAGCTTTCTTTTTCACGTTTTCCCACTCATCTAAAAATCTCTAGACTAGCTCTTGAAAATGGAAAAATTTGCTCCTGTGTGTGTGTCTGTGTGTGGTAGTAAGTGTAAGTGAAGAGTGAGGAGTGTGTGTGTGTGTTTGTTTTTCGGGCTTTATTCCTGCCTTTATTCAGTAACAGTTCAAAGTACAATGTATACACAAATAGAAACACAGGATCCATTCACTCCAGGGCTCATGAGTCGTTCCTCTCTTTCAGTTTCACTCATCCATTCACTTCCCGTGTTCTCTCCCGTGGCTCATCCCCGTCCGCATGACTTTCACTCCACCCCCTCCCTCCAGGCACACACAAAGAAAATCTCACTCATTCCCTTGCACCCTGCAAACCATGGACAATAATATAGGCAAAACGCAGCCTTAGCCGCATTCCTTTCGTTCGTGAGCTGAGGACCAGGCCAGGGGGGTCGGGGTCGTTGTCTTGTAGTTGCTGTCGCTTGTGGATATAATCGTACATTCTTTTCACCCGCTCTTTCACTCACACT